TCCAATTTCTTTAAGAGTTTCCATTTCTTCTACTCAATTTATTTCTTCCAATTTACATCCTTAACATCAATTACATCATTTAAATCCTATTCATCTTAATTAATTCTTACTCTTAACTAAATTATACTGTTCTCACAGTCGTCGTACTGACGAGGTCCAATTGTGGAAGCGGTAAAAAATGTATACAACTTAATGGACTGGAACATTTCTTACCTAATTTAATATTTGTTTTTCCCATCCTTCCTTTCTTACCTTTCCCATCATCCTTTCTTATGTTATTCCATTATCATTCTTGCATTTTTCTTTTAACCTCAAATGAAATAACATCAGTAACAGTAATGATAACAGCAGCAGCAGTGATGGCAGCTGCGGTGATGATAATGCTGGTTACGATAATGATGTTGATGGTAATAACCGTATTGCAGGCGCGGCTGGAAATTATTGATTTGTTTGTCGACGTTGGGGATGGAGTGATTTTGATGAAATTGCTCGAAATTATATCGAGTGAAAAACTCGGCAAACCAAATCGGGGCCGAATGCGGGTGCAGAAAATTGAAAATCTGAATAAAACACTCGATTTTTTGAAGAAGAAACGAATTCAGGTTGGATGACTAACACATATTTCTTCCTTCCTAGAACAGTTGCAAAAAATACCAGTGATATAGTCTGACAGAGCTTACTAAAACACACAATATAGTTTGCTGATATGTAAATGTCAGAATCAGACGGAGGGCAGGTGAGGGGAGGAACGAAGCTCCCTTTGTAAGTCTGGTACCCGAAGTCGTCCTCAACTGGAAAATTTGCGTGTTTCTTCCAGGCAACCATACCTGAGTGCCAGATGTACTAGAATGTAGGGTTTAAAACGGATGCTCGTAAAATTTCAGCTTCCTGGCCTTTCCGGTTGCTGAGTTGAGAGTAGGTGACGAAGCTCACTCGCCTCTGAACACATATTCACACTGGTTCCCTGAATGGTCTTAGTGTATTAACGTACGAGCAGCTTCCTTCACAGTTTCCATTTACATTCATTTTTTGCAGCTCGAAAATATTGGCGCAGAGGATATCTTGGATAGAAATGAGCGGCTCATCCTGGGTCTTATATGGACAATTATTCTTCGTTTCCAGATTGACACCATCTCAATTCCTGTTAGTGCATAAAATGTTTCCTTTTAGCCTTTTTGTTTGTTTTTTTTTATGGGTTTTGGAATTTTCTGCAGAGTTTTTGTTAATTTGGATGATAATGTCGAGCCTTTCGCCGTCTGCTGCGCCCAGTAACACATTTTCAGGCGATCTAATGTTGGCCCTCTTTTACCCATGTTTTTGATCACACTTTGATTCTGCTCATTTTTCGCCGTTTGAATTGGCACCTTTTCTGACCTGTACACAGTTGAATCGCACTAGCATTTCAGATGGATGAGGAATCCGGTGAAAG